CCCTTGGAATTGAAGGTATGGAATACTAAGTAGGCTTTAACATAATGCAATATAGTGATATATAATATTATTTACTATATATATAATTATAGGGTAAATAAACATATTGTGCCATATTAATGGCAGCTCGCTAGTAGCTGTCTTCATATACTTAGAAATATTATTATTATCCATATATTTTTAGAGAGGTATAGGGAGAGAAAGAGTGAACATGTATGTATGTATATGCATGTTTGTTTAATATATTTGATTCTTGTCTATGTGTTAATTATTATTGATAACAATGAAAATGAGGTAGTCAAAAGTGTGAAAGGAACTATAGAAGGAGTGTGGAATTATCTGAATGTTAATTTGTCAGAGACAGATGACTCTTCCATTTGGATCGAATCTCAAGCTACTTCCCTTTTTCAGGTTGCTATGAATGATCCAGAGATCTTCAATGGCAACTTCGAAGATAGTAAATGCTAGGATGGAATCAACTATCCCTAGAACTGAAATGCATGGAATATTAAATAGGCTTTAATGTAATATATAGTAATATCTAGCATATTATTTACTATATATATAATTAATTAATTATGGGGTAAATAAACATGTTGTGCCATATTAATAGCGGCTCGCTAATAGTCGTCTTCATATATTTAGAAATATTATTATTTTCCATGTATTTTTAGAGAGAAATAGAGAGAGAAAGAGAAACATATATGTGTATATGTATATATGAAAAAATTGTTCAAAGCATCTCTTACATTTTACAAAATGACATTTTTCATCCATCACTTTTAAAAGTATAATTTTATATTCGTTACATATTCACATTAGTCAAATTTAGTCCCTGTTTAGGTTTAAAACTAGTTTTTGGTCGGAATCTATCAGATGCCTTGCACGTGATTGTTTTTTAGAGATAAAATTATCAAATCACATTTTATATAATCCAATTTATAGTCTTTCACATTTCACAAAATGAAGTTTTCATAACTTATTAATTATGTGTATAAATAGTTTTTTCTTATTTTTGAAAATCAATATATATATCTATTTGATTTCATTTGAACAGTACGAATAGCATGTAATATATCTTTATCTGGTTTCACCGAACAAGTTAATTATAGTTGTAGGTAAAATTAAATAGAAATATATTATATGCTATTTGTATTGTTCAGGTGAAATCAAATAAATAGATATGGATTAAAAAAAAAGTTATTCGTACACATGATTAATAAGAGATGAAAACTTCATTTTGTAAAATGCGAGGAATGAAAAGATTCATTTTGTGAAATGTGAGAAATGAAAATTTTCTTTTTGTGAAATATAGGGAATGAAAAAATTCATTTTATGAAATATGAGGGACTATAAATGGGATTTCATAAAATATGATTTGATAATTTTGCCCCTAAAAAATGATCACGTGAATTGCACGTGATGCATTCCAATAAAAAATTAGTCGAAAACCTAGATTGGAACCAAATTTGATCAATATGAATTTATAAGAAACGTAAAATTATACTTTTTAAATATGTAGGACGTTTTGAACGAGTTCCCTATGATATTAAATTGGTTACAAGTGACCCTTTAGCTGGAAAAGATTGGTTTATCCATGAAGAGTACATGATTTTTAAACAGAAGAAAGTTTTATCTAGTGCTTACTCAATCCAACAACTTGGGAAATTTTGATGGATACTGACGTTGCAGATTTTCTTGGACTACTAGATAGTCAATGAAAAAGTCACTTATGTATGTTGGATTGTAAGGACTTTTAATGGTGACAACATCTTTGGGAGTTTTATGTACTATTTTAAATCACCTGAAAGTAAACTATCATGAAAAATTATTTAATTATTGTAGACAATGAAATTTTAAATAATAAAAAAAATTTGTCATTGGTTCTTAAATTAGTTTTACCGCACAATTTTCACCCAATTGAATATTATCATGTGTCACATACATTTGAAAATTTGGCTATTTGACAACTAATTATATCTCTCATAGTGTCAACTTGAGATGTCACAATCAATTAAATATGTTGAGATGTTACCAATTGAATTATGTGAGGTCACATATCTCTAGACTTGGCTAATTGAGGATTTATATGTTATATTGATATATTTATTTAAAATATAAAATGTAAGAAATTATAATCCTTATATATCTTACATATAGAGGTCATTCCTCGAATCAAATTATTTCATATAACATATCTCTACAGCTTGACAAATTAAAGAATTACATGTTGATATTACCTATTTATGAATAAACTAGTATGGGAACACGTGCATTGCACACTGTAAGTGTTTGTTCCCTTGACACATATCAAAATAATTATTCATCCAAAATTAAATTATAAGATAGAAGTTTTAATAATTTAAAGTATTGCAATGCTATCAATTTACTTCTTTAATGCAACATGTAGAAATAAGTGTTTAAAAAACCTTATTCAGTGTTTCTCTTGGTAGGAAAACATAAGAAAGCAATAGAGAAGTAAATTTAAAAAATTAGGGAAGAAAGAGCAAATTCCAAAGCAGCTATCATGGAATTTTAATTGATTGAAGAACTGCTTTTACTAAGTTAAATTGTTAATTAGTTTATGTGTACTTGTGTTGCACCTCGCCTAACTTCTTGTTATAACTGTTTATAGTTATATTTACTCAAAAACTATTATGGTGAGTAAAATAGTAAATTATACTTTTTATATGTTCCACAGATTTAATTTTTGAACGTCATGTAAAAGTTACAAAATTCGATATTTTCATCCAATTTCAGTAATTTATCTTTTTTAATACTTTATTTATTTATTGCATTTTCAATAAGCTTAACAATCAAAGCCCATTTAATAAACCATATCGAAATGTAATCAATTTGGAATTGTTTAAAGAGTTAAATTTTAAATGTAGCACTCATTCAAAATATAAGACTTTTATTAATAAGAGAAGTTCATCGCTTTACACCTAGTAGCAGCAAAGGAATCATTTTCTTTAATGTGTACAACTACTATTTATACAAAAAGAATTTAATATGTACCATTATTGTGTAATACATTAAGTATCAAATTCTATATTGAATACAACAATTTTTATTATGATTCTTTTGCGTACAATTAATCCATAATGGCAGGACAAATACTAATCTATTATCAGATCATAACTCTTTAATATATTGCTCTATTGTGTCGTACAATATTAGAGTTTTGCTTTTCCATGAATAAATTTAACCATCAAGATCCACAAATTTTAGGCATTAAATTTTCAAGACCATATCATTATTTTGAAAATTATTGCATGTATATATTTAGCAGAACAAACCCTACATACTTCAAAATTATTGACTTTGACTCGAGGCTAGTCCAATAACTTTTGAACTGAAATTACGAGTTCAAAATGATTAACCGAATTATTCATAACTCAATGGATCAGAACTTAAATACCAATCTTCCATCTTTGTCCAACGGATTTCGGATTTGGGGTCTCAACACCCTTTTTCATCCTCTAAGTTCTAGCAAAACTCATAATCATAGTCCAGACTATCCACTCATTTATGCTAGGATTTCAGAGGTGGTGAGATTCCAGAGGTGGACCTATTCGATGGAATTTATCCTTGCTCTAATAGAGAACATAATACTGGCCCTATTTAGCAAGTGAATTTTTTGGGTGTTTGTCTATAATTTTACTATAGTTTACTATAAAATTTGTAGAAAAACTTATTGAGATTAGTAAAACTTTCTCTTTTTTCTTTTTCTTTTCCTTTTTCCTTCCTCTCCTCTTCTTTCTTTGCCACCCATCACTATTCTTTCTCCTTACTCCCTCCAGATTGCTGGTTGTCGTCGCCAACATCTCCACTAGCTATGTAGCGACAATAGACTTTTTTTCTCTCTCTCTCTCTCTTCTCCCTTTCCTCCTCTTCTCTCCCCCTCTTCTCCTTTCTTCTCCCACCTTCTCCTTCCTAGCTTTTCCCTCGGTTTCACGATCAGCTGCGCGATGGTCATGCGGTTGGTGAAAGAAAGAGGAAAGCAACATAGGAGGATCGAGGAGAAGGGGAGGAGGAGAGGGCAAGAGGAAAGGAGAAGAAGGGGATAGGAGAGAGGAGAGAGGAGAGAAGAAGGGGGAAAAAAAGGAGGCACTAGCGGTAGAGCTGGTGGTAGGTTAAGGTGTGGGGAAAAAGAAAAAGAAAGGAAATAAGGGAAAAAACTTTTTCTGTGTTTTTTTTGGGATATTTTTAGGTGTGTATGTTAAAAAGTTTGAGAGTTTTTTGCTTGAGATTACTTTAGTTAAAGTTATTTAAAAAGGTTGTAGTATAAAAAATTGGGAAAAGCCTCACTTGCCAAACAGGGTCTTATTATGCAAAACTCTTTTTTTTTTTTTTTTGGAAGGACACAAAACTCATGGCTAGTGATGAATTTTGATTCTTCCTTATTCAATATCTCATATTTACCCTTCATTTTATCCTACATGTGACGCTGTCGTTTTTGCTGAAGAAAACGTTTGTCCATTATTTGCATTGTTCCCTTGCGAAACTGTGCAAAACCCACCTCAAATAAGTAGTAGGGGTTGTCAACGGGTCAGGTTCGGGTCGAAACTAATAAATTCGGATCCGAACCCAGTATATTATATCAGTTTCGATTCTAGCCCGAATATCCGACGAGTCCTTTACTCTTTCTCCCTGATCCGAATCCAACGGGTTCCGAAACCGGGTCGGACCTACCCGAAAATGGGCCCATCAAAAACCTATTTTTGCAACAACACTTGTCTTTGGTGTGTTTGACTATATGAATAATAGTCAAAGAAGTAAATTTGGGGTATTATATTAATAATTTTTTTTTGTTAAAATTATTAATCAATTTATATTCGGATTCGGGTCTAATATGGGTCAAAATACCATATTCCTTATCCGATCCGTTTTTTTGTTTGGCAAAACGGATCTGGTTCCGGATTCGGGTCGACCCGGACCGTTGACAGGCAGTAGCCATGCCCCGTGCGTAAGAAACTTAGCAGTCGCCAGATTTTCAGGGGAAGCCATCCTCCTGCAAAATTGAACTCATTACAGCTAGATTTCTTGGGCATTTTTTGCTTTCTCCTTTACAAAATATATCACAAACCCATCTCAAATTCGAGCCACGAGTGAGGAATCCAGTAGAGCCAGAGTTCCGCAGAGAAAGCCATGCTTAACTAAGGCCATTTTTGGTTTGCTCCTCAACAAAATCGAACCCGGTTGAGCTAGAGTTCCTAGGGCATTTCCGCCTTGCTCCTTTACGAAATTGTGCCAAACCCCATTCTCAAATAGTAGCCATGAGAGAGGAATCGAGTAGGGACAAAGTTTCCAGAGGAAGAAATGAAGCAGAAGATAGACTCAGTGATTTGCCAGACTCCATCCTCTGCCACGTACTCTCGTTTCTCCCCACAAAATTCTCGGCCGTTCTGTCCACCAGGTGGAGGTATCTTTTCTTGGATGTTCCCAAAATTGATTTGGATGAGTCACTGATTTTTAATTCTGATCAAATAGGCAGAGATGATATTAATGAAAATGATAGCTTATTGTTAGAGGATAAATTTGCCTGTTGTATTACGAGGCTTGTTTCTCACAAATCATCCATAAATGAAATTACACTGAGATTATTAGAGCTAATTTATCAGAAAATGCGCCAAATTAAAGCGTGGATAACTTCTCCACTCTGTCACAATGTTGAAGTTGATGTTTTTGTTGAACGAATTGGGTATCGCTGGATCTTATTAGTCTTGCCATTCAAATATTCAGATGCATGTTATGGAATTTCTGGGCCTTGTATGGACGGGTTAACCTTTTCGTATCAATGGTATCAGAGCCAGACAAATAACCCCAACGTCCCAGGTTCGACGGAGGGGGAGCCCTGAATTACCAGGCCACGAGGACGTTGGCCTCTAAGGAGGGGTGCTTGTTATGGAATTTCTGGGCCTTGTATGGACGGGTTAACCTTTTCGTATCAATGCAACAGACTTGTAATATTCAAATTACATGGAAAGTTTGCGCTTGAGTTTCCAAAATTGGAAGTTTCATGTGAATCTAAAGGCGTTGAATTTAGCAGGAAAGTTGACAGTGATGGGTAATGATACGGTGTGGAAAGTTGGTTTGATCTGTCCATTGCTTGAGGATTTGGGGGTTTCTGATGTCGATGTTTGTGATGACGAATTAGTTGATATTTCCATTCATTCACTAAAAAAGGTTGGTTTGGATTCTTTATCAGCAAGGGCAAAGGGTCGTTCCTAACACCCCGAATCTTAAGTATCTAGAGTATGATTGCTTTTTCTGCCCAGTAATTGATTCAGCTTGCAAGATGAAAATATTTGGTTAGAGCTCGTCTATCTTTTACTAGTTTTTTGGATGAACTAGAATTTAATGAGGCTTATCAGTTTAACCAGCTTATTCATGAAATGTACAACATAAAGTATCTGCATTTACAGGGACTCTCTATGGAGGTACAACTCTTGAATATCTATGTTGCACTTGCCTCTTCTTGATTTTTCATCTTATATCGTAAATTTTGCTACCATTTGAATGACTTTTGCACTTTACATTATGTGAAGTGTCTTGGTATGATAAAAGTTATGTTGCTTGAGTTTCAAAGTTGGACACATTTGGCTCTTCTTGCAATCCGGAATGACACAATTGGGTATTTATGGAGAGTCTGTCTACTAAAGAGGACACCAAATCTAGAAATGCTTGTCTGCAACATGGTTAGTTAGCATTTGAACTAAGGCTCTTACAACAGAATGAACCAAATGATTCTGGCCTCTATTTTTTAAAATTAGATAGTGACATAACCATTTGATCTGATTGTCAAGGTTTTTCTTTTGTTTTTTCCTGGTCAGGACCAAGAGGAAGTTCTCCCTGTTATAGACCTAGACTCTGGTGCTGAAGATGGACCTCATTGTCTGGATGAACTTCTTATGGAAGCTAAAACAAAATTTTAGAGTGGGATAGAGTATGAACATCTTACAGAAGTGAAAATGAAAAATTTCAGTGGCAGAGAGTACGAGTTTGAGATAGTTAGATATCTTCTGAAGCATGCAAGTGTGTTGCAAAAGATGTCTATATATGCTTCCAAATCCAAATTTTCAAAAGATTGTCGTTCATTCGTTCAAAGGAAGTTATTGAAGTTATGGAGGTGCTCAAAAAACTGCAGGGTGGTTCTTAATTAAATCTGTGGAGTAAAAGTACGTATTCTGGATGCTCAAAGAAACACAAGAGATCAAATGTGACTTTTGGATGAACAGAAGTCGGAGGTGTTTGCTCGTGTAGGATTCTAATCTCTGGGCTCAATGTTTTATTGTCTGTAGATTCCTTCCTCGTGGGTACATTGTGCTGATATTTTTTTTTTGAGGGAATTTCATATATGACCTATCAGGTATTTTGGTCCATCAGAAAATAGATTTCTATATTTTAGTCATTTTTGCAGTTGTTGATGATGCACTGGATGTTGAAATCATGTGCTCTTTTCCCTGGTTATGCCATCTTAACTTCCTTTCAGAACATTCCGATAATTTGTGCAATATTGCAGTTCTGCCCTTATTTAGTTGATATGATGTTTATATTCAGTAAAAGAACTATAAAATGCGACTAATGCCAGGAGGGGCCATATTTCGCTAGTTTAGTCTTAATATAGTTAGTCAATGCCCATTTATTTGATTTCCCTAATTCTTCTTCATCTTTATTGCTGTCTGTTAGCTCTTTTGGCAGAGCTCAGAAGATTCTGATGGCCTATATGATTCTTTACTGCGGGGGTATCTTCGCAATTCCATTCCAAAATACCAATGCGGATAAGACCTTGTTTCATTCATGCCAAACTTATGGAGTCAGAAAGCCTAGAAGGGACTTATACGTTCTCTTAGGTCTCTCAAGGTTTCAGAATATCTTTTATTGCTGAATTTCACATTTTTATTTCTAAAGTTTTGCAGCAGTTAATGTCTGATACCTCTTTCTATTCTGGCGAAATGTTGAACTTTCCCTTGTGTCAAGTAAAATAGCTTTTTCCAGATAGATGGTATAATAATTACAAACATAGTAGAGTGTGTAGTCCTCCAAATGTTACAGGAGGCATTCTTTCTTTTAGGTGAAATGTTCAAATATCTTTAAAACTAGGACTAGGTTTAACAAACTGTTTTCGGAAGCAAAATTAAACTTTTCACGAATTTGAAACAAAGATTTAGCTTCTCTTAGCTGGTATCTACAAATAAAAAGAATGGTTTCCTTGGCTAGTACCGAAGGGTCAAGAATAATCACTTCCAGTTGAGAAGTTGGCGGAATTTTCATGGTGCTTAAAGGACTATGAGATAAATGGTGCATTATAGTGCTGTAGTCGTTCCTTCTGCGCTGGATCTAGCTTTACTATAGATCTAGACAATTCTATAGTTGTAATTAGTTTCCTTTGAATGTTCTAGATTGCCTTTTTAGCACGTCTATCAATTTTGTAAGATGCCAGCGGCCGCTTCCAAGAGGGCAAAAGTCAGGCCACCGAGTGAAACAGTTTTGTTCATTGCGGTATGTAAGACCATGTTTGTAAAGAGTTTGTGCCCACTGAAAGGAGCATGAACTGCCATTGCTACCCTGCTTTAGTCTAACTCTAGTTAGTCAATGGGTTCCCCAACTGTCGTCAATGTTTTCGTGCATTGTTGTGTTATTCTTTGACAATAAACTGTCTTTGATATTTTGTTCCATTTAGCATTTTATCTGGATGTTTTACTGTATTGAAATGTTCTCTTTCAGACAAGTCCACAGACTTTACAGTTTTTGCTTTGCTTAGTGATGAAACATCACTCATGCAAGTCTTTTGGACAAAAAACTTATCACCAATTATGCATTATAGTTCTACTTTTTACCAAGGAAAAAAAATTTACTTTTTTGGCTGTACTACTTTTCTCCATTCGGAATCGCAGATGTCTCTACTAATTATCAGTTTAAGATTAGGTGGCATGATGAAGACTTTTTGCAACACCCGTAAGGCTTAGTTTGGGAGTCTAGGATACAAAAGAAAAGAAGGGAAAGCTGAAGTTATGAAAGAGAAATAGAAGAGAAGACGAGATGGTTAGGTTGCTTGGGATTTTTGAGAATAAGTGGAACAAAGGGAATGATTCTGAATATGTAAGTCATTAACTATTTGTTGTAATGCTTTTGAAAGACAAAATAGGCATTTTGAAAAAATTAACAAGCTTCCTCTAAGTTTCGTTCCATTTTCGCCCAATTTGGGCCGAAAAGTTTTAGCTGCTGCATTTCCTTTATTTTTCTTCTTACTAAAAACTAACAAATAAAGGTCCACTTTCTTTTAGGTTACTATTTTCTGGAATTTTTATAGAAAAATATATTGTAATGGTTTGATGTATGTGAGGTAAAAAACAAAATGATTGGAGAATGTGATTATGAAAAACGTAAGAATTTTTCCTTAAAAAACTACCATCCAAGCAAGGCAGAGGTCTTGTTTACCCTTCTTCTCTGTCCAAAACTCCAACTCCCAAATGGAGCCTAAGATTCCGTGTCAATATGGTTTAAGAGATGCTTATGTCCAATTCAGATTGGGGCTTTTTCTGAACAATCATTCACAATTCATAGCAGTGGCATAACTAGGACCCTATGGTGAGGGGGTGTAATAGTCAATTTTAGCGTAAATCATGCTCTTAGATTTATATAAGAAATATACTATGTACTTTGATTTAAGATTCCAAATCCTTTTCTCCCATTAGAGTTTCATTAATGTTTAATTTGGAATATGTCTAAAATTTTTGTTAGAGATAATCAATAAAATATCTTGTTTTAAAGGGTAAATGTAGAATTTGGGGGGGGGGGGGGGGGAGGAATATATAAAACTTCAAAGCATAATCTATATAGGAAAAGGAATTTTCTTAAACTTAAGGGGGCAGTACAACTAAAAGAGGGAATTTTATGAAATTCAGGGGGTGCAAATGTGATGCAAACTTAAAAAGTTTAAATTTTCAAGACCATTATATAATTTTATTAATCTTGAGGGGGAGCAATTGCCAACCCTCAAACCTATGTGGCTCCACCACTGCTTCATAGCAGAGGGTAAAATGGGGTTATGTCATGCGTAGTGAAAAGGAAGAGAAAAAATGCTGAAGGATTTGGAAATTTGAACACTTAATAGATAACTGATGTCTAAATTTGTGTTCAAATAATGAATTTTGTTATAATTCATTTTCATTAATTTCGTTTTAAGAAACCAAATGCTTTGATGTTCCTTTCCACGAACCACTTCAAGCATCAATCGTTGGTAAAGTTGCAAGACCCTGGACTTATTAGTCGATGGCAATAGTTAAATGTGGTGAATTTAACTGAACAAAATTCCAGTCTAAGAAAACAGGCATGTCTAAAGATTTTGTTGATATGCTTATCTATGTTCCACAATATATACAGGGATGAACGAAAATTAATCTCTTCATAGCAACACTAATATCAATTTACGTTTGGCTGCATTTGGATTGAGGTATTAATGAAATATTTGAAATCCTTTCAAATCCTTCTAGTTGCTTAAATTATTTGGAAGATATTTAGATTTGTAATCCACTAATTAATTAAGTACATTTTTTTAAAATAAAATTCACGATTTCATTCGTTAGAGTTGAACTAATGACAGAAAATACATCATCAAACATGTCACAAAAATAACAAATTTGAAGGAAGGATCTACAGATGCATCACATAACAAATCTGAAGGATCTATACATCAGATTTGGGAAATTACAAAAAAAAATTTCCAACGTAATCCAAAAGATATCAATCATTTTAATGCAACGAATATCTGTACATGTCTTCTTCCCTCAGATCTATTGTTTAAGTGCTTCAAGCCCTTACTTGAAGTTGAGATCTAACAAAATAGGCTCAGAAATTTTAGATCTGACAATTAGATCCGAAAAAATTGAGATAAAACAAAGAAAAACAGAACAAAAAAGCACAAAACTAACAGAAAATTCTAGGAACCCTAAGAAAGAAGGAACTGTCACTAGAAAAATTTTAGGAAAGAAGAAATCTCCCACTAGGAAACCTTAGCAGAAAACAATACTCTCACTAGAAATTCTAAGAGAGACTTTATTACTTATGAACATAACAAGAAATCATAGGTCTTTCCTCTCATGGAGTAAGTTGTTGTTTTGTTTGAAAAGAGTGGAGGAAGTTAGGGAGAAGGAAGAAAATCTTCTTTGACTAGAAGCTTTGAAAAAAAAAAATTAAGTACATTTAGATACTAAAATAATTGATGGATTACAAACTGAAATAAGTTTAACATGTTAAAGCAAAACTTGATCAATCTAAGTCCGCTCAAACTAATTTGAATCAAGTCCAAATCGTGTACTTCTTGTTTTTAAATCTTAAATTTCATAGTCAGTTGAACCAAATGTCAATTGTTGAAAATGTTAAGTAATATTATCAAGCAAGTTTCTCAGGATTGACTTTTGAGTAACTTAATTTCTATTCAAGAAGTATAAATTTGTTCTCTTCAATCTCTTTAACCATCGGCTATCACAGTTTTATCTAATGGGCTTACTACACTTCATTAGTAGGAACTAAAGTTTACCTTTACAAATCAAAATTTCCACTGAATATGACTTTATAATTCTTTAATTCCGAATCGTTAGTACCAACTGAATTACAATAAGTCATGGCTAAAGTTAAAATGATGGATGACAAATAAAAATCAAAAGAATACGTTAAAACAATTTAAAAAATAATAATGGAAAAAAAAATGTATGGTGGTATGTCCAAATGAAGAAGAAATTTCCTTTTTTTTAATAGAAATTGGAGAAAATTAGGGAATTGCTTGTAGTTAGAGGAGAATGCAAAAGGAAAACAAAAAGAAGAAATAGCAAGAAGAGAAAATAAATTAAGTAAATAATATAATGAAGTTTTCTTGAATTTCAATAAATTACTCTAAAACTATTGGAAATCATAAAACGAATGGCAATAACGCAGCTCAGCAAATGGCCATTAATAAACTACTTTTATGACTTCAGTAGGTGATTTGATTTCAAGCCGCATCCACAAACTGTTTCACTAAGCATTTATCTGATGACCAAGGGAATGACATGCTAGCTAGACGAACAGTTATGTTCTTAGGTATCGATTCATTGATAATAGAAGCCTATCATTTTCATTCTTCTTTCTTTTAATATAAGAGACTTGATTAATGGAACGCATAGATCCGGTTTATTCATTATGTACATAGTGGCCACGCTAAAGATTGTGGCTTCGTAGGGATCGTACTTCACGAACAATTTTCTGCTGGAAGCGTATGGCATATAGAACACATTTTCTTCTCTTGCTATTTTGCTAGGGACGTTTGAGATAGGCTTGAACTCTGCCATTGTAGAGAAATGTACGGTGGCTAATTTTCAAGTGCTTGGGTGTTTTTTAGCAGAGACAATAGAGCAAGAGTTTGCATTGTTCATGGTGCGATTGTGGCTTATATGCACTGTATGCTCGCGAGTCACAAGCATATGTTTGAGGGTAGATTGATGAAGGCAGAGAGTTTAGCAGCTTGAATATGTTCCTAAATGTCAGAATTTTAA